AAAAAAAAAAGAAACCATCAATCTTCTTCCACTACTGTCGGCTCCTCATGTTTTTTGCTTTACTCATCTAGGGTTTGTTTGATTAGGGCTTTAGATTCCAATTTTTTTATAAGCGATTTGACAGACTGAACTAGCCACAACATAGGCGAGGGCTGATGGAGCCACAACAATGGTCCTGCGAACGGTTGCGTTGCGTGCGACAGTCTTAGAGCACCTACACTACATACAGTTGTTTGCAGGCACACGGGCTACGATGGTCCTACGTGTTGCGGTGGTTGGTTTCTAACGGCGATCAACGGTTGTTGTTTTTTGGTAGGGGGGAGAGAGAGAGAGAGAGAGAGGTCACGGTTTTTTTTTTTTTTTTTTTATATCCAGGTATCCCAATTTACACCAGACTATATCCTGGACCACCCATCCCCGACCTCTCAGTGATGGGTGGAGGTTAACAGTGGGATATGCTCAAATTGACCAGGGTCCGTGCACCCTTTATACTCCTATCCCCAAAGGAGCCTTCCTCCATGGATATTATATCACCAAACTGCTTCACCCAAATTGAGTATTACAACACTCAACTGCTCCATCTAGAAATCGAACTCCCCACCCTGAGGTTGCAAGCCCAGCAATGCTCGTCCTTTGCCAACTCGGATGTGCCCCGAGGGGCAGGTCACCTTCTTTTTTTTTTTTAAATGAGAGGGTGTGTTGTGAATGTGATGAATTATGGATAATATATTTATTGAATACATATTAAATAATCAATTATAATCTAAATTTTGAAATATGAAAATTAAGTTATGATGTATGAAATGTAAATTTTAAAACTAGAACCCAGTATGTAATTTCCACTTTTTTCAATCATATTGACAAATAGGATTAGTAGACTATTGATTGGCGCTTAGCATCAAATTAGGTAAATATGAACCTTCATAATTTATTGTATAATAAAGTTAGGATGCATTTTGATTTATTGTACAATAAATGAAATCACTAGGGTCTACTACGCATAGACGGGTGTTAAGCACCAGTCAACTTTCTTAAATGTTTATCCATTCAACTTTAAAATGTTTTCAAGATGCCATTGAACTTAAAGAAATTTTCTTAGGTATCATTGTACATTAATAATTATTTGAGTTAATACGAAATAATCAAAATCTTATCTTGTCTACAACTCGTTGTTATAAAAGTTAACAAACTTGAATACAGTACAATTAAAATGAGGTTGTGGTAACGTGTCGATGAATTTATCGATTTCAATACATTTGAGAAAGTTTAATGACAATAGAGATATTTAACCCCTATGTTTTACCATATGATATTACTTATCAAGCGTATCGATATTATTTTGCACTTAATTTTACTACTATTATAATCATATATGTCGTGGTGTCATTATCAACTTCAACCCGATTCGAACTAGATGTTTCAATGGGCAATATGTTACATATTTTCAATAAAGAACAAAAAGTTAAATTTATAATTTCATAAAATTTATTCTTCATAATTGCAAACTTAAACATTTTATATTGCTAGATTACACCTAAGGAATAGGATTACATTTTTTTTTTTTATCACTTTCTAATTCATAAATTTCGACCCAAAAATATTCAGTAACATTAAGAAAAATGAAATATTCATTCAATTAAGCGTTGCAATCATTTAACGTTAATATTGTAATAAACGTGACATTCGAAAAATTCATTATATTTTTTTTCTAATATCGTTAAATTTTATGATACAGCATAAGCATCGAAATAAAGAATAACGCCTTTGTAAATTCTTGATAATTCAACAAATACCGAAAGGAGATAGTAATTTGGAACAAATTCAAAGTTCTATATAAATTTAATCAACATCAACAAACTTACAATGAAACCTTAACTCCGTATTTAAAGCAAAACCCTACGAGACTTTTAAACTGACACAAACTCTACAATACCTATCCATTTTAATCAACGAATCAAGTGAACTAATCGACAGACCTTTTAAACCGGCCGTGCTTCAATAAATATGTGGAGTGTTGTCGAACTTGCGATCGCAAACCATAGGTAAGTATAAAAAGTCGCGAATATTCAAATGTCAATAACTTTTATAAAATATTTGCGTACAAAATTTAAAGCAAAAATTACAAATACAAAATTTCATAAAAAATCTCTCATTCATCTTTAGGATTTTGATTAAGCTTAAGGTTCTTAATCTTTTCTCATTGTAGCTTTATGTATCTAATGATTTTTCCATGTCATTCTTATCCTCAAAATTTTCATTAATTAATATATTTTGTATTTGAATAACAATTTTATATCCAAAAATTCGTTGAAATAGCGTAAAATAATTTATTTTTTCGTCATATTTTTAAAAAATAAATGAATAAAAAGTATGAATATTTTTTCTCATTTCAAAGTAAATGAATAAAAAGTATGAATATTTTTTTTCATTTCAAAGTATGAAAACAAAATATTTTGATATAAATCATCATCAAGGATGAGATGTACTAATTAATGAAAATTAAGAAAATAATTACTACAATAAGTAAAGATGGGAGAACTTAACTGTAATTAAAATATGGTGTATCAAATAAAAATTTAATGGTAATATAACCACCCTTTTGGAAGGCTTTCATGAAAATAAAAAATGTCATCAAAAATTTAAATTATAAGAAATTTTCACTCTCTTTTTTTTCATGGGTTCCTCCAATTTTTCTTTAGAGAAACATCAATTTTTTAACTAAAATCTTATAACAAAATAATTGTATTTACAACTGAATTTTTACATATTGGTTGTTTGTTTAATTTAATAACTTACTACATAATTGAACATGCTAATAACGTTGAAGATTAGAGATTTCATTTTTTTTTTTCCAAATATCTATATCATATTAAAGTTAATTTTTGACACCTACGGTGTACGATCATGAGCAAGAATTTCCATGTGGACCTGTCAACGAATTTTTTTTTAACTAAACTAAATCCTTCTAAAATAGTTTGGTTTACGTATCAAAAATTTTAATGGCAATTTGATTGTTTTAAAAAATTAAAGTTTTTCTAGAAATTAGACTAATAAATTACATCCTAACCTCCAAAGTAAAATGAATTAATCCCCAAGTACAGGGAAATGATTCGCCCTGATTTTTTTTTCCATCTTCCAATGATTTGTTGCCATGTGTGTATCTGTGAAAGAATTCTAGTTCTGTACTTGTTGCAAAACTGAAGTAAAATATAACTATTACTCCCTCCGTCCCATTTATATAAACTTACTTTCCTTATTTTATCCAATAATAATTTACTACTAGTTAGTGATAATTAAATTAGGGTAAACTAGGAAAGTTTTTTGCAAAAATCTTAATTCGTGTGAAAAACAAAACAAGTCTATGTAAATGGGACGGAGGGAGTACGATTTTAATAAAAAAAAAAACACTTTGATCATTTGTTAAATGATTACCTTAATTTTATACCCCTACCATTCAATCCATCAAAGTCAAGTAGACAACCTTTGCATCAAAGTCGAAATCCTATTCATCTTCAATCTTCATGCCTCAGACATTGATATTCAAAAGCTCCACATTACTGATAAGTTAAATTTATAGTTTGATGGATTTAGTTTTTTTTTTTCTTTTGTTGCCAATAAAATATGATCAATGAACTAGTCATGATAAAGTGACACTAAAAAGTATATAGTCAAACAGCAGTTTAAAATCAGATCAAACATCAGGTTTAGGTTTGAGAAATTTATGTTTGGGGTTTTCTCAAACCTTTTAAATGATTTTGTTTGAAAATCTCTATAGAAATCGATCAAATCAAACCGTTTGGAATCATACTTTGAACATCTCAAGAATCTCACAATCACACGACATGTCCAATTCGAATGACTTGTTTGAGTGATTCTAGACGAGTCATTTCATATTAGCCTTAGTGGTGGATCCGTTATTGACCCATGTCTCATTTCAAGTTCCCTAGGGTCCTTCAAGATGGGTAATATTACGTTTGACTACATTAACTCTGACAACATGTTAATTTGTTGCCTTCTGTTATCATGACACGAGAATAATCATGTGGATATTCGCTGGCTATTCAAATTTCAAATTAATAGGTAATTGTCACCTACAACTCATGTATTAATTTATTGTAACTACATGATAATACTCTATTTTAATGAATTGCTACGTTTATCCGAGTGATTCTCAAAATTAAAATAAGAAAAACAATTTAAGCCCTTCAATTAATATGTGACAAAGTCGATAGTCAATAAGGAAAATTCATTCCAAATATATATTTAGAGTTTAAAAAATTAGCATAATAAACCATTTTATTTTCAGAATGTAATTAAAAAGATTCTTACGATATCTCCACTAATACAACGCAAAGGTAAGAAACCAACTTAAACAAGGAAACTACTTCAAAGTGCATACTACCCTACCTACTCCACCCCTATCCCCACACACAAAAGAACAAAAAGAAAATAAAAAGAGAAATGCCAGTTAAGAATGCAGAGAGACGGTGATAGAAGAATTCTACAGAGCTAAGAACCATGCAACAGCTCTTCCTCTTCAACACTTTTCATCGTCCATTAAGCCTATACATACACTGAATATATATATATATATATAGAGAGAGAGAGAGAGAGAGAGAGAGAGAGAGAGAGAGAGAGAGAGAGATTTTACCTAAAAGTTATGAATATTCTATCTTCTTATCGAAATCCGAATTTTAAGACCAATGGGTCTGAGCAATTTTTCTCGTGAATTTTTTCCTTGTTTCTTGATCTATTGTTTCCTTTTCGTTCAATTTTCTTGAAAGCTAAGACACCAGCTCTTTCACCCATAAAATTTTTACCCCTTTGAATTCCAACCACTTTCCTTAATTAATTCTTGTATTTTCTCACTGCCCTTCTGTATTCTTTCTTTAGGGTTTGTTTGTGTTGATAGAATTAATCTGCTCTGTACAAAATCTGTTTCCAGATTTATTTGCAGAGTTGATTTTGTTAATCTCTTTCTGTTTTTTTCTTTCCTGAGAATGGAAAAAGATCAAGAAATTCAACCGGATTTAATGATGGAAGATGAACAAGATTCACACAGAGCTGAAACGGTGGCGCCGCCGGGTGTTTCCGCCGACAAACCACTGCGGGTGAAGATCAAGTTTCCAAACATGAAAGAAAGCGCGGAGGAGGAGGATGGCCCAAAAGTGAAGGATCATTGCTGTGTGGAGTGCAAAAAGAGATTTAACTCAGGCAAGGCATTGGGAGGTCACATGAGCAGTGCTCATGTTCAGGTCAACAGAGATTTCTCTCTCAAGAAGCTGAAATCAAAGAAGAAGCGGCCGAAGAAACTTTTGGGCTCGAATTCTCCGTCTGACTGTGGCGGAAAAATTATTTGTAAGATCTGTGGGAAGGATTTCAGAACAAACAAGTCCTTGTTTGGGCACATGAGGTGCCATCCTGACAGGGAGTGGAGGGGGATGGAGCCACCAGCTATGGCGGCGATGAATTTTTCGGAGCCAGAATTTGAGGCCATGAATGGGGTTCCTTCACATGTTTTTGATGGTGATCAGACTGATTCAGGTCCTGCGGTAGATTCTCCTGCGGTGGATTTGAATAAATCTGTGAAGTGGCTGGTGACCGGTAAGCGCGGGCGGGTTCCAACTAAGCCACTTGTTGATTCACCTCTTCTTCGGAGTTCAGAGGAAATTCTAGCTGTTCAACAGCTTATAAGGCTTGTCAATGGGGATTCAGTGAAACCTAGTGAAGATCTGGATTTCAAGCTTAAGGAAGGTGAAGCTACTAACAGCAATTCTTGGACTCCTGAGAATGAAACCGATGGTTTTAATCAGGATTTTCAATTGAATAAGAACAAAGAGAAGGTGTTTCGAGTTGGAGATGAAAGGGATTCTCCTATTAAAAAGCTGAAAATTTGGGAAAGAGTTGATGAAAACCCTGGTGGTGCACAAGTCAGGAGAATCTTTTACAATAGCAAAGGAAAGGGTCGAAAATTGAATCCTGGATTGGATACTGAAAATTCAATTAGTTCGGATTATTCATTAGACGAGTTTGAACCTTACAAATCTGGTACTAATGGTTCTATGATGATCAAGAAAAAAACTAAAGAAGGGATGAAATCAGTGGATCCAGAGTCGCCACCAAGTTTCAGCCACATAGGACCGGAATCTGAATCTGTTCCTCTTGCCGTGACACCTGATAAATACATTTGCAACACTTGTAGAAAGAGTTTTCCTACACCTCAAGCACTAGGCGGGCACAGATCGAGCCACAAAAAGTTCAAGGTGAAGGTTTACAACACCATTGATGATCAGTCTTCAAATGAAGTTTCTTATGCCAAGTGTAGGCGAAAAGCCAAGGCCATCAAACAATTGGAAGTAAACAATGTAAGTAAAAAAGCAGCGTTTAGATTAAAAGCAGTTTATAATGCTTATGTTGTATGATTTGCAATAATAATTTCCCTTCCTGTCAGGTTCTTGGAGTTCAGAATCAATGCCATTGCATTGGTGAGTGCAATCTTGCTGATCATGTTACCTCAACAGAGGAACCGAAAAAAGAGAAGAAAGTTTTCCTCAAGTTCAACCTCAATGAGATTCCTAGCCAGGATGGTGACGATTAGATGGAATCTGGTGATACAGCTAGTTAGATGTCCATTGAACTTTTAGGCCTTTAGTATCCAGTATTCTGTCATAGTCTATTTATTTTCTTCTTGCACAATTTCAAGAAATATTATGTCATTGTTAAGCATGTTATGCAAGTTTGCTTACTGATTTATGTGAATGGAACAGTTTCTTAGTCATTTTTTTGCTATCGTATTTGGTGAATTAGTCGAAGAAGCAATGCTTTATGCTACTTGCTTTACTTCGTAGTATGATGAAGATCCAAATTACTTGGCATTATCTGTTACATTTTGGGATGCTACACCTCTTTCTATAGACTCGGGAGCAGATCCAAAAAAATGCACTCAAAGGGAATTGAGGACCGGCTTTGTTACAATAATAGAAGTTATGAAATTCGACATTATTTTCAAGAAATGTATATAGGCATGCAAAACACAAATTCTTGATATTCTATCAGTTGATCGATGAGTTTCCTAGAGTCGTCAGAACTTACGTCAACATACTTATTCTGAGTTCTATTGAGAGCACGTTTTCTTCGAATTTTCTAATAAAACGATTTTCATCTTGAGAAGAAGTCCCCAAACTTCCGTACTAATGTATTGTTTCATAGAGATTCGATTCATATCTGGATGGTGCTTTCTTGCACTTGAGTCATTATTACATAAAATGCATTTAAATTATGCGTCTTCTAGTGAAATATACGAACATTAGATCTGAACTTACAAATTTCAAGAATTTCAGTTTGAAAATTTGATAACGTATGCTCATAATCAATCTCTACAAATTAGTCCAATTAAAAGAAGGAAAGATAAGGAATGGAATTGTGACAGTACGGAATTGAAAGGGAAAAAATGGAAAAGTCGTGGCTTTCTTGCTTTAGTAAATTGAATTGGGAAAGATCGGAAATGATTCATGTTACTTTATGAAAAAGTTGGAACAGACGGGAAATCGTTACATATGTGCAATATGAGTAAATAAGTTAATAGATTGTAATTAACGTGACATTGTTGTCTTATCATTTATTGTTAATTTGAAAATGAACAAAATTGAGTTTTGAGATGAATAATTCTATTGCTATATCAGGAGGCCACACTGATATCGAATGAGTCTATCGATCGAATTAATTTTCACGTATATAGGGATGGCAATGTGACAGATATGGGACTGATGGTTATTCACACTCCTGTCACTCAGGTATTTTTATCACCTTACCCTATTCTCGTACCTAGTTAAAGCGAAACGGGTTCGGGGTGGGGCATTGACTACCCCATTTATTTTTTATTTATTTTATTTTTCGTTTTTATTTATTTTATATCTTTATTTAGTAAATATTATTACTTTTTTCCAATTTATTAAGAACAACTTATATTCCCTTTAAGAATAATGATAATTTTTTTTTTATTTGATAAAAATTTAAATTTAAAATTAACTTTAAACGGGACAAATAGCAGTGCAGGGATTATATTTCCCGTACCCGTCTTATACCTGCTTCGAGTGGATGACCCCCGTCCCGTTTACTCGATTAGGCAGGCAATGGGGCAAGTTCTACAGATATTGAATTGAACGAATTTTTTTGTCATCCCCTACATGTACATAGTCTTGTAAATCAAACGTTAAATACTTTAAGAAAAGTGAGAAATCGATTGAACTATGTGAGATTTTTGCGAATTATTTGTCAAGGTACATGATTATTTTGAAATGCTTATTACACTATGATGTTGTGCAATTATAAAGATTTTACACTGTTTGGTTCTGAAATGGAAATCGCGACATATATTACACAATATTAATCTACATGGAGAGGTCTTGTCCATGTACTATATTGTATTATCAAAATTCTTTGGGAACCACTTCGTGCCCGGATGGAGCCTTGTACCTGTGTGTGGGGTTGCTTAGCCCATCGAAGCAGTCTACGATCGTATGCTTAGATAACAGATTAAAATATATTATGATATGATGATATTAAAGATTTTTGAGTAAAGAATTTAGCTAATGATTTTATGATGATTACGAGATTATATTATTTCCTCGGGATTAATGTGACATATATAGATGATCAGTCATATTTTTCAACATTGCTAAATTGCTTCAAGAGAATGTCTCACGATTTTTGCTATCATTATTATGAAATTTTAAATTGCAAATTGCTAAATGATATGAACTCGAATTTCGATAAATATATATAACTGATAAAGCATAAATATTTTTTAAATTCTCCACCGATTGAGCCAATTAATTCGTATATTTTTCAGTATTTTTCTCATCGGGTAGCAGTTGAGTTTTTTTTTTTTTTTGGAGTCGAAGTCACGTCATTATTTTTCGGGTTATATGGGGATAACAATGAAAATGTGATATACACGTACACACATTTTATGTCATACTTGAATCACATTCCCTAAAAACTTATTTTCAATTAGGGATGACACGTGGGTTGAGCGACTCTCGATCTTATGAACTGAGCTCGTCCCGACTAGACCCATGGGCAGCTCGAGCTTGTTTTGAGACAAGTCATA